TTGTTTTCATTGTTTGTCTGGCAGCCTTCCCAGTCCTTATCTAATATTCCTCATAGGCTGAGCTAAACTACCAAACCCAAACTTCTATATTAGTAACCAAATTTGGTAGAATAGTTTCATGAAATAAGTGCAAGGAGGTTCTGAATAAGAACCTTGAGGGGACACATAAATAAAGTATGCACACTATTGTAGTGGTTTTAAGAACAAGTATTTTGCTGACTCCGAGCCTTCTTTTGCTCCCTTCCAGATCCTGGCTTTGCAGGTTTCTGGTACTTTTACGGAGCTAAAGGGAATCAGAATTCCATTGAAAACTCCAGTCTCATATCCAGTTTATTACTCACCAACTCTTTGCAGCACTAGCCAGGTCTGGGCTGGTGGGACCTGATTTCTCCGACTTTTGGTCCTTAGACCTCTTTTGACTTTTACCAACTGCTGTATATCCCATGACCTCATCCTGCTCGATTCTCTTGGGTGGGTTCCAGCAAGATGGCTCAGGCTCCAGTGGGCTCTGCTTTCCAATTCTCTCCCTCTGATCAGATAGACATAGAGGGCAGGAAGGCCACCAAGTCCATTAGTCCTGTTTGTACAACCAGGAAAGATTCTAGTCTCCCTTCTTGCAGGCACCCCCAGCAGCTACCATTGGTTCTACTGGGAACACTCCTCATTGGATAGAAGGGAAGCAAAGACTTAGTATTCTGACCCAAGTTAATGACGTAACACTTCTCCATGAGTTTTCTTTCCTCTCACAATTACCTCTTAATAAGGACTGGAAAAGGTCTATGGTGTAATGTAATAGGGCTGGACCAGCTTTTAATGGGATGTGACTGGTTTCCTTGATGGCTTTTTTTTGAATAATATTTCTTAGCCTTGAATGGTCATAGGAATCATCTGAAAGCTTAAACAAACAAACAAAAGTCCTGATGACTGGATCCCAGTCTTGGAGATTTTGATTTAATTAGTGTTGGGTAGCAGGCTGGTTTGAAAACTCCGCAGGTGATTCTAAAGACAGCCTTTATTGGGAACACTGTTTTAGAATGGGGTGGTACTTAACACTAATTAATTTCATTCGTGAGCTTTTACCAGTCATTCGGGGACTCCTGGAAAAACCCTATTCAGTGTTACACAGGGTATTAAAGAATAATGGAAATGTGAGGATTCCTGGAATGCTGGGACCGATAGGAACCTGAAACATCATTTTATTTACTTTCTCAACAAATGGGGTCTGTGAACCAACAACTTCGGAATCACTTGAATTGTTTGTTTAAAAGGCCTATTCCTGGGCCTTATTTTCACGCCTTCTGAATTAACCTCTCTAGAGTGGGGGTGAAAGGTCAGGAACATATGTTTTAATAACTTCCCCCAGGTGATTGTTAAGCACCTTCATGGTTTAGAGCCATTAATCTGTATCAGAGCTTTTCAACCCTGGCTGCACATTAGAATCACATAGGGGCTATAAAAATACCCATGCCAAGTAGACCAGTGGTTCTCAATCTTGGCTGCACTTTAGCATCACCTGGAGGGTTTTTGAAAGCACCATGCCCAGGCCCCACACTGTGCCAATCACATCAGAATCTCTGGGGTCGGGACCCAAGCATCTGTGGTTTTTACAACTCGCTAAGTGATACCAGTCTACATCCAAGGTTGAGAACCAGTGTTCTGAATATTCTGGTTTAATCTGGGGGGCGGGTGGGGTCAGGGGGGTCTCAGGCATTGATAATTTTCAAATGTATCCCAGCTAATTATAATGTGCAGCCAAGGTTGGGAATTCCTGAGTATTCAGGTTGGGGTCATTTTCAGCTTTTCTGACCTTCCCTCAGTGTGGTTACACAGTGGCCTTTAGCCTACAGATGCAGGCTTGCCTCCGTCTCCCACACCAGGTCCACGCCAGTCTTGACCAAGGAGATCTAGTCTCTTGAGGAGTTATGCGTCTATCTAGACACAAACCTCTAACCCCTGCTTTCCTGAGTTAGTTTCATTAATTAATCTATTACTTATTCAGTAAGTGTGTATTAAACTTCTCATATTTGTCAAGTACTCTGCATTGATCCATGGATACAATGGCAAATAAGATATTGTTCCTGACACCTAAAGAAGTTTATAGATTTGCAAGGGTAAAGGAGGGAGATATACATGCAAACAGAGGCATAGCAGAGAGTAGTAATTATTACAGTGGATGAGTGAAAAGAGAACTATGGGAACTTAATCTGCCTTGGAGAATCAGGAAAGACATGTCTAAGGAGATATTATTAAGCCAAGTCTTACCCCATGATTTAAGACACCTTCCATGATGTGATTTCTCTCCTACTTTTGCCATAGTTTCAACTTGAGCCATACCAAACTCCTTTCAGTTCTCTGCCCCACACTCTCTTGACAAGACTTCAATCTGCATTGATTTGCCTGGAACATTCTTCCCCTTTTCCCCAACCTGCACCTCCTACCTAAGACTCTGCTTAGCTACTAATTCCATGAAGAGGCCCTTCCTGGCCTCCTGAATGATGATAAATGCCTTTGTTATACATCCATGCACCAACCTGTAGTGATTCTTTTATAGGACACGCCCACTTTACTGCGTGTCTGTGACCCCTCGAACCTATAAATGTCATGAAAGTGGCAACAACCAGCTGTGTCCTTTACCACTGTGTCCTGTGCATAGCATGGTGCTACGGCATTACTGGATGAATGACTGGATGAATGACTTAATTGTGTTCCAGGAACAGGGGATGATGTGTGCAAAGCCACACAGGTTGGAATTCAGTGCCACATCCTAGAATAACAAAAATTATGGATGTCCAAAATAAGAATGGGAGGGAAGAGTTTTTAGAGATGAGTCAGAAGAGGTTGGTTGTTAAGGGCCTTGAGTGTAACCCTACATGGTCTGAACTTCACTTTGTAAGCAGTGGGAAGCCAGAGAAGGTGTTATGTGGGGGAGGATAATAATGAGGTTTATCATTCAGGATAGTCACTCCAGAAGCAAGGTGGAGGATGGAATGAGGAAGAAAAAGCTAATTTAAAGAACAGTTGGGAGATGTTCCAGTACTATGAGTGAAAAATAATAAAGGCTTTTCTGAAGTAATCAAGCAAAAGGGCTCCATTCAAAAGGCATATTTGAGATAGAATCTCCAGCCATCGCTGAGTAACTGCATGTGGGGGTGAATGTGAAAGATGATGCCATTGTCTAGCTTGGAGGACAGCTGGATGGGGGTGCTATTAATGGAATTGTGGAATATGGAAAGAGAAGAGCTGGTTTCAAGGAAAAAAATATTTTTTTAAGATTTTATTTATTTATTTGACAGAGAGAGATAGTGAGAGCAGGAACACAAGCAGGGGGAGTGGGAGAGGGAGAAGCAAGCTTCCTGTTGAGCAGGAAGCCCAATGAGGGGCTCGATCCCAGGACCCTGGGACCATGACCGGAACCGAAGGCAGACGCTTAATAACTAAGCCACCAGATGCCCCCCAAGAAAAAAAAATATTAATGAGCTCAGTTTTTAACATGTTGAGAGTTCCATATGCCTATGGGCATCTAGGTAGAGTCTTCTGTACAGTTAGAAATGCATAAAATTCTTAGCTTGGTAACTTACTGACTGTGGATATGGCTGGTATTGTCCAATTGACTACATTAACTTCCAGTTTATGTACAAAAAAGACAAACTTTTCAAACTGTCAGTGTTGTTTTGATTTCATGATTTTTGCTTCTTTGGGCCACAATTGGCAATCAGTTGGCAATACTTCAAGGAAGAGTCTCCATTAAAGTCACTTACTGGTTATTTTCTTTGATTAGATACATACAGGTATGCCAACTGCACCTAAATTCTGAGGAGGTAATGATTTTATTATAGGTAGCAATGCTGTTCTCTTCTTCTCATTTGTGAGTTCAGAAAGGAAGTGTGTCTTATTCTTTTTGTTAAACCTAGTGCCTGGTCTAATAGGAACCCAAATTAGTGGATGGATGGATGAATGGATGGATGGATGAATTTATAATCTGATGGCAGAAATATGGGATGCTTTCTGGAGCTAATCACTTAGGAACTGAAAACCTTCTATCTTATACATAAATACCTATGTGACTCTTCACTGAGCTATTGACTACAACAAAAGGTAGAAGAGATCACCTTAAGTATTTTTAAATGGCCTTTCATCATATCATTTTTTCTTGGCAGTACAAAACCACCCTGGGAATTTTAAAGCTATGGGTATAAAAGACAATATTTCTTGATACATTAACTTTTGATATTGTCAAATAAAGGAGGAACATTTAACTTAATTGTTACAGAAAATTCTTTTGCTTGGTACTGTCCTAGAAGCTGGTAGGTAGGTACACAATCAGGCTCTTTAGGAAGATAACCTTATGGACCATATGAAGAGGCTGGAGGAGAAGAAATGACTCTATTTGAACAGAGGAGAGATGATGATGAGGGCTTAGAATAATAGAATAGCAGTTAAATGGATAGAGCCCATTTGCTAATTAATAAATTCATGAAATATTTATTCACTGTATTATACCAGACTCTGGGGATGCAAAGGTGACCAAACTTAGATAAGTTCCTACCCTATAAGAGTTTATCAATAAGTGGAAGAAATGCACATTGATCAAATCATGACACTAATAAATGTATAACTGCAGATGTGATAAATGTAGTATGGGAAAGGAAAAGTCAGACTGCACACAGCATCTCAGAGGTAAAATTGACAGGACTTATTTGGTTATTGAGGTATCAATAAAAGACACGTCTCCTACTCTTCTTTCCTGAAAGAATATTCAAACTGATTTGTGTGGCAGAAATAACATACATGGAATGCCACCGAAGAAGGCATATTAGTGACGAATTGTGTAGGACAAATTAAAATGACTTTTTACCAAAAGCTTAGATCAATAAGCTATGAATTTTAAGTTGCGACTTTGCACCACTTATTTTTCATTGCACCATTCAACTGGAATGATAGTACTTTGCTGATGAGATATGGTTGACTCTAGATCTCTCTATTTTGATTTTTCTTTTCAGATGTTGCCAGAGCAATTGAATTATTGGAAAAACTACAGGAATCTGGAGAAGTACCAGTGCACAAGCTACAATCCCTCAAAAAAGTGCTTCAGAGTGAGTTTTGTACTGCTATTCGAGAGGTATGACACTAAAATTTTAATCCCTTATATTTAGCCATCTGTCTTCTGAAGAGAAAACGTGAATTTTCCACACAAACAGTTGAATAGTTAAGACTGGAGCTACATCTAAGCTTTCTGTTTTTAGCTGCTTGGACAGATGATAAAGTATGATTTAGTCTGCTAAATTCTTAAATTAGATCCAGTCGGGATTTATACATTCTTTTAAAACCGAATATTGACCTTATAGTACCAGTGGAGGTCACTGCCTCGGCAGGTAATTCTTACTTGCTTGTAGTCTCAGTTATTTAGTGGCCACATGAAGTCATATGGAAATTCAACTCAAAATAGTCATAATTCATGAGGGTTGAGCTTTTCTTAAAAGAACACTCAACTGAATCTTAGATAAATCTGGAAGAGTAACCTCCTACAGACTAATGTTATAGTCATCCAAACATTGCTGTCTAGTGCAATAATGGAAAATCTCTGAACAGACTGATACGCCCTTCTAACAAATCTTTGTAATGCTTTCCTCACTAGTGGGTGCAAGAAGCCTAATGTAAAACAAGTGTGTAGAAATGACTGAATTTTGTATTGACTTGTGGTGGAATTGACTAGTCCACTAATGAATTTAATTGGTTACAGTAGAGTTCATTTGGGATGTATATGCCATATTGTTTTTTGAATAAAATAATATTAAGTAAGCCCATCATTTCTTCCCCATCAGGTACTAAGTAATAATTCATTACTGAGAACCTAGAGTCCATAAATCCAGCATATTTGCTCTGCTAGAAGTCCCCAGTAATGAATTATCTACTGTTATCCTCTCCAAAGCTAGTTGAACCCAGTGATTACCTGGAGAGTTTGTTCTCTAGTGGAGGACATACACTTGACAAGGAATACTTGTTATCAACTTCCCTTCCTCCTTGCAATTCTACCTGTAGCTAATGCACTTATTTTTACTTCAGCAATGCTAATATATGAGTAGTTACTGCATGGGAAAGACCTAGGTGACTAAGATAGAGACATACAAAACCTCTTTCACTACAAATTTAAACTATAGCCTATCCAGTGTGGTTACAATTTAGATTTTGCTGAGATTTGACTTAGACTGGGCTTGTGCTAAATCTTTATCAGGTGAAGTTGTTCCATATTTAATTTTTGTTTATAATGAACACAGCTTAAGTATATAACCATAATTGTGTCTCTAAGTTCAAAACTATGAATTTAACCAAAGGCTGAAAGGAAATTTCTCAAAGTGTATGAGTTCTCGGCCACCAGTTGCCCAGTGGGAAAGGAATAGATATGTGGAAACCCCGTGGGCCACTCTCAGTTAAATTCCTGTAGTCACTCTGTAGATCAAGGTTAGGTCCCCTATACACTCTTTTCTTCCTTCACAGAGTGCTACTCCTCTGAGATTTGATGGCTTATTTTTCATTTTTAGATATCCTATCATCTCTTTTACTTTCCACAGAACTAACTGAATGATAGGACACATCAAATATATAACTCTGCTCACTGGGAATATGGCATATGATCAATGCAAAGTCTCTACTTTCGTGGTATTTACATCCCAGTGAGAATATGATTAAATAAATATGCAATACAATGTCAGAGGGTGACAAAACCGTGGAAATAAATAAAGCAGGGTTAGGGGAAGTAGGAGTAAAGCTCTATTAAGCTGGGGTGGTAAGAAAATAACCTAACTGAAGTAAGGGAACATCTCACAATTATAAGTGGGGTATAGTTTTCCAGGCAGAAGAGACCACAGATGCAAAAACGAAGAATGATCTTAGTCCATGGAAGGAATATCCTAAAAGCCAGACTGTCTGCAGTAAAATAAGCAAGGTAGACTTCCCCGAGGCAGCCAGAGAGCAGATCATGTAAGGCCTCGCATGCCATGGTTGGGACAGTGGATTTCAGTCTAAGCATGGGGGAAAGCCCTTGGAGAGTTTTGCCCTGACCTGATTAGATTTTTAAAAGCTCCTTCTGCCTGCTGTGAGAGAATACAAATGTGTGGGCAAGAGAAGAAACAAGAGAATGCAGGAACCAAGTAATGAGAGATCAGGTGAGAGACTAGATGATGGCAGCTTGCAGGGTCAACAGTGTAAGTCGTGGGAAGTCCTCGGGTTCCATGTGTGCTTTTTGAGAGTAAAGTCAACAGGAATTGTTCGTGCTTTGGGTACATGGCAGAGAGATACAAGTCTCTATTGCCTTTTAGGTTTCAGCTTGAACAATTGGATGAATGGTTACATAATGAGATAGGAATCTTAGCAAATGGACCAAATTTGGACTGTCCAAGAGCTCTGTTGTAGACAAGAGTAAGTTGATGATGCATTTCAGACATCCAAGTAGAGTCTGAGTCTGGAGGTTGGGGGAGAAGTTGGGTCTGGAGATGTAAATGTGGTATGACTGTCTGTTCAAATAAATGCACAGGCCTTTTTCTTTAAAGAGTTTGCTAAGGAAACAGAGAATAAAAGTAAAAAAGAAAATAAATATTAAGACATTGTATTGGCATTATAAATATATCTTCCAAACCCTGTCTGTGGTAAAGTGTTCTGTGTGTATCATTAGTGATCCATGTAAATCTATAACTGAACTATGGGCAGTCCAGCAATTTCAGAGGGAAACAGATGATATAATTTGTCTGCCTTACATTTTATAAATCTGGACTCATAAGATTGATTTTAGGTTCATAGTAATGTCCTTATAATAGTTTTGTCCTTAAGGGCAATGCATGTTATACAGAAAGTTGTTTTCATCACTTCATCTTGACTCACATTCCACACAAGTTTTATGATATTGTTCATATTTAAGTTTGGAATGTTCCTCGTTATTCTCATTATGTCACTCTACATTAACTGGGAAGTAATGGTAAAAATAGCAATATGTCTTCAACAATTCTGAATCATAGAAGAATATTGTATCTCCATCTAGTAAAAAGTTCTTCAATACAAATGTAAAATATGAACCCATGTTCCCAGACAGGTGAATCCACAAGCCAGGAAAGAAAAGGGCAGCTGGGAAGTATGACGATGTACAACAACAAATCTCCGAAAATTAAAGTGTTTTGAGTCAAGGATCCTTTCCCTCCTGGTCTCTTGGGTCCTGACTATTATGCTGGCATGAAATCTTTGAAGTTATGGTTTCTTATTCAAATTATGCTCAGAATCTCTGTGGTTAAATTCTTTGATTTTTCAGGAATATTTGATAGTTAATACTTTCCAGTGTGAAAATTATGAATTTGTCATGACAGGTAGAGAAAAGACAAAGAACTATAGGGGCATCATCCTTAGTTGCACTTACCAGAGCAAAAACAGGCACAGGTCATTGTCAACAAGACTGTAAAGCCTAAATTATGCTAAAAAAAATGAAGGACAATCAATTGCCAATATTTAAAATTGCCTTACACAAGTATAACAGTGGTTACTGTTGCAATCCCATATTTTGCTTTACATTTGGATGCAACCACTGAATCAGCTCTTAGCCTATGGGCAGCACTTATATGGGAAGAATGGTTTCATGAAATTTTATTTTGTTTTTTGCTGAAAATGAATGATTAAAAGAGATTCGATGTTTTCTGTCCTTAACTATTCTTCTGTAATCTCTAAGAAAGATGGACAAAATCATGTTGAGCTCAGGACTGAAGCAAGACCATTTATGTATATAACTAAAAAAGGCACTGATCTATTAATAAATAAGTTTCACTTGAATGCCAATCCGCACACAGCTTTAGTCACACAATACAGATAGTAGTTGGCAATACTTAACCTTAATGTTGTGTTTTATGCTGAAGGATCTTAAAAGGACCTGATTAATAATTAAATTGTACCAATTCTGGCCAAATAATTTTGCAGTACATGGCAGATAAATGGACTGACACATGATGCTGCTCTTCCGTAGTGAGAGGTACCAGCTGACAAGAGAAAAGTTCACAGAACTTTTTGAATGGGAGATGAAATAAAAAAATTTTATGGTACTGATATTCCCAGTAAGGACCATTTCTGTAATTTTAAGTGGCTTCTTCAAGTTTTAGTTCCTCACTCTACTAAATATTATTTAGTTCCTCACTCTATTATTGCATGACCTAAGTTTATAAATTGAAATATAAGGAAATATATGGGTTGAAATATAGGGATTATAAAACGTTGACTTCTGATAAGAGAATTTCCCATGAGAATTGAAGGGTGAACTTGAATTGAGTTCACATAGCTCGATTGCCAAGAGACGAACTTTGTCCTGACACTTCCTGTTCTTTGTGCCTCAGAGAAAGAAATCAATAGTATATGAGTGGTCATATTTTAAGAGGACATCCAATTTCTGCAACAAAGTTCAAAGAAACTCTTTCTGAAACTAAAATAATAAAAAAAAAAAACAATGAATTTATTTACCATCATCATCTTCCAAGTTTTACAACATTCAGGCTTCCTGCTTTCCAGGGTGATGTGCTCATTGATCTGGTGTTTGATGTGCTGCTGGGAGCGGTCCGTGGCAGGGACTTGCTCCCATATTTATGACTATCATATGCATGTGTGAACCAAAAATGCAGAACCGAATGACTGTCACCAAAAACTGCCTTCCTTGGCCAATCACCAGATGCTGTGTGTTGGTATGCTCTCATGTAGTAGAACTGTAGATTAAGAAAATAATCCAACTCCATATGGAATCATTCTGTGATAGTCAGTAGGATTGTTGGAAAACATTCCCGTTCTCCTCTACTTCTTAGCACATGTTACAGTTGGATTTCCCCAAACTCCTTAAAGCAGGATGTGGTTATAACAACTGCTCGGTGAGGAAAATGTGAGTGGAAATGATGTGTGCCACCGCCTTGGTGAAGCCTTTGAATCAGTACGTGATATGCTGTGTTCCTTCCCCTTTGCCACGTGACTAGTGATGTTTTACCTGATAAATGATCAATCAGCCTGGGCTGCAGAGGGAGAAAATGAGAAGTACAGGCTTTAGCCAAGCTTTTACAAACATATAGCCTGAGCAAGAAATACACCTTTGTTACTCTAAGCCTCCAG